CCCGCCATCCCCGAGCACTTCTTTTTTTTTTTTGTCGGTCTACCTTCTTCTTCTTCTTCTCGCCGTTGTTTGCCCATCCTTTCTCGCCATCCGCCACCGCCAATCATCATCATCATCATCTTCTTCTCCTTCTTAGTCCCACCTTTTTCTTCTTCTTCTTCTTTTTCTTCTTCTTCTTCTTCTTGTTCTTGGACCGGCAAGAGGCGGACCAACAAGAGGCGGAGCACCACAAAGAGGCGGAGGAGAAGGACCAGCAAGAAGACAAGGACGACATGGACCACCTACAAGAGGCGGAGATGGAGCACGGAGAAGAGGACGAGGAGATGGAGCATGAAGAGGACGAGGAGGGGATGGAGAGCCAAGAAGTGGAGGAGGCCATGGAACAGCAAGAAGACATGGAGGGCATGGATCAACAGGACATGCATCACCACGTGGATGACGAGGACGGCGAAGAGAAGCACCAGCCTGCAGTGAAGACTGTGTACACGCGTAGGCAACGACTGGTTGTGTCCGCACAGTCTGTCGAGAACTCACCCGACTTCCCTCCCAGCAATGAGGCTGTCCAACATGACAACCTGTGGGTGAGCAGGGTGGGGAGGAAGAGGAAGGAGCCGGTGGAGGATGCTGCTGTGAAGCCTAAGCGTGCTCGTGGCAGGCCCCGCAAGCTGAAGACCGCTGAAGCCGGTGCTAAAAAAAAAAAAAAAACATTTGCCAGCGCAAGGCTCGTGCGGAGGTTGTGGAGGATGACCCGATTCAGATATAACTGCAGTGAACGGACATCTGAATTCGAGGGAAGCCACTCCGATGGCGAATGAGGTCGCCGTGTGTGTGTGTGTGTGTGTGTGTGTGTGTGTGTGTGTGTGTGTGTGTGTGTGTGTGTGTGAGAGAGAGAGAGAGTGTCTGTGTGTGTGTGTGTGTGTGTGTGTGTGAGAGAGAGAGAGAGAGAGAGAGAGACTTTGTGTAATTGATTGTGGAGCAATGTGGACGTGGTTTCTCTCCAGGCCTGTTTTTTTTTTTTTTCGGTCTTGTCATCCCCTTCTTCTTCTTCTTCTTCGTCGTCGTCCTCCTCTTCTTGTTCTTCTTCCACAGATGTCACAACCACCACTGACATCCCTCAGACCCCAACCCCAACCCCCAGGCGAGACCCCCCGCTGACATCCCGCCCACAGCATCTTCCTCTTCGTCTTCTTCTTCTTCTTCAAATTCTTGGTCTTCCTCCTCCTCTTNAAAAAAAAAAAAAAAATCCTTGCCATGTTTTTGCGTCGCCCAGTTCAGCCGGGCGGACCCCCCCGGGCCCAACCGGCCGGGCGCCGGCCCAGCCCAGTCCGTTTGCCCTTAAAGAAGGGGAGGGAAAGGCATGAAATACTCAGAAAACTGATCAGCGCATTACCAACTCTTTCTTTTCAGCATCGAGCCAGCCTCTCTCCCTTGCGGAGCTGGACTGATGTGCCTGAATCTCTGCATGTAGCTCTCTTGACCTCTGCCTCAGGTCAGCCTCTCTTGTGTTTGCCGCATCGATCTTGCGCTCCACCTCCTCCTCCCTTTCATCAAGATTCTTGAATCTTGAGTCAACTTCCTTTTCCAGGGCAGTAACCTTTTCGCCAAACCTCCTCGTTTCTTCAAGGTGTTGTTCCCATTTGCTCAGCGTCTCTCGCTTCATTTCTCTCACCTTTCCCTCTTCTTCCATCAGCTTTGCAGCTCTTCTCTCGAGCTCCAGCCTCTCTCCCCTGAGCTTCTCCCTCTCCACATCAAGTGCTAACCCCATCTGTGTTACATCTTGCCTCATCTCTGCAGCCTCTGCAGACAACTTCCTCTTCTCCTCCTCGAATTTTGCTTTTGCTGTCGACAGATTCTCCCTTTCCTCTGCTTGTCTCCTCTCAGCGTTTGCGACGGACTGTTCTCTTTCGACAACGGCCCTCTCTGCTTCCTTCACTGCCTTATCCTCCTTTCTAACCCGTTCCTCCTCCTTGTGCAGCAGCTCAAAGACACGCTGACGTTCCACAACAAACTCTTCTTTCATCTCCTCCACTCTTGCAAGCTCTAGCCTTGCCTCCTCCATAAGTTTCTGGCACTTCTTGACCTTCTCTTGCTCCTTAAGCAGTTGTTCCTGCTCGGCCCGAAGCTTGCTACGTGCACTCTCAATATCATTCCTCTGCTCTTCCACCATCCTCTCCCGTATTTTCAGTTGCCCTTTTAATTCCTCAACCTCTAGTTCCATCATTCTCACCATCTCTGCCCGCTCCTCAATATCTCCTTCCCTGTGTATCAGCTCCCTTTCTCTCAAGCTTAAGGACGCCTTCTCCTCCTCCTGCTTCCCTCTCAGTCCTTCAATCCTCACTCTTTCCGACGCAAGCTCCTTGTCTTCCCTCTCCAGCCTGTCAACAGCTGCCAATAGCTCAGATTCCCTTCTCCTCAAGTCCTCCCGTTCCTCCTGCAGTTCCACCATTACTGTCTCCTGCTTTCTAACAGCATTCTCAGCATCCTGCTGCAGTTTAGCTTCGGTTTCATTGAGAAAAGTTGCCCTTTGTTCCACATCTCTCTCCCTCTCCTCCAAAGCTGCCTCTTGCTGGCGAACATCCTCCTGAAGTCTGCTGGTTTTCAGTTCACTCTCCTGCAACGCCTGTAATGATAAACAGATTCAACGCAACAAAATCATCAAGGATGAACCCTGACTTCCACGTACATCAAAAGGTATCACATGCATACGGCACATATCGTAATTGGTTGATGCAAGTAAAAACAAGACCCAGTGTGGACAGTAGGTGGGGAGGTCGGTAGGGTGACGGTTTTTTTGGGGGGGGAGGTGCATGTGTGTGACGGAAACGCCAAGAGGTGGGGGTGGGGGCGGGGGCGGGGGGGGGCGATGCAGGCAATGACTAGGTACCAAGGGGAGTCTCCCGGTTACCTGTTACTCCCATCCCTTGGCCCTCGACCAATCTCATTTGTTCATGATGTTAATGTTCTTTTGCTTGCCGGTGATAAGCAACCAGACTGGCGCCCACCAGAAAAGAAGGGGCTGGGTGTGTGTGTTTCTTAAAAAAAGAAAAGGTATGCCACCATTCACTGCACTAAGACTTGTGCACTTCAGTTTGGAATTTAAATTTTACAAGTTACAAGCCACAAGGCGTGCCCTGGCCCTGCCACAGTGGGTGCACCAGATCACAACAGACAATGTGCAACATAAAATATAGGGGGAGAGAGGGAGAGCGCTTGGGACACCACAATATCATAAAGATACTAAGATAGTGCCTCTGCCCTTACTTTCGGCAAAGATGAAGTGCGTGGTGCCCCTCTCTTGGTCTTTCTGTTCTCATGAAGCACAAAAAGAAGAGCACACCACGGTGCCACTAGTGGTGCAGGTGATACTGTGTGGGTTAGGTGGTGCCATATGGACTGGGTGGTCTGGCTGTGGGGGTGGGTTATACTACATTGAGTAAATGGTACTATGTGGGCTGGGCAATACAATTTCAGGTAGGTGGGTGATGCTACGAGGGCGTGCTACAACGTGGAGTATGTGGGTGATGCTGTGGGCTGGGCTGTGCCCCCCTGTCCTCCCCTTCCCAGCCCCACCCACACTCCCCCCCAAAAAAAGAGAACCAAAGAGAACTTGCCCCTGAGAGAGAGAACCCCAAGGAGAGCCATATGGACTGGGTGGACTGGCCGTGTGTTGCATACTCATGAAACACAGTCATAAGTATGGCGCAGATTCCCAGAACCGAGCAGATAATACAGAGTAAGTACAATTACAGCGGAAGACTTGATACACATGGACTGCCTCAACCCTGACTCAGACTGCAACGAATCCCTCACAAACATACATCAGTGGTGTGAAAGCCCCGGCCTTGGACCTGGAAGAACAGGCCAGGGCCGACTCTCATACACAGATGAATGGAGGGGAGGAGAGACGAAGGGAGGAGGAGAGGGAAGATGACGACAACTCAGTGTTTCCAAAAATAGTATCTCGAAATGTCAGAAGTAGCGAAAATCTGAAATGTCGTGAATACAGTCTCACAGTGTCTCAGATATCGATCTCACAATGTCAAGATACATCTCCAGAGGTAGATGGAGTCAGATCCCAAAAGTAGTCCCCAACCTGCAGTCTCAATGTTGCTACCTCCAATATCATCAGAGCTCATAACCATCCTTCGTACCCATAGTAGTCCAGTAGGAAGTAGACTTAGATTAGAGGGCAGGAGGAGAGAGAGAGAGAGAGAGCGGAGAAGGCGAGAAGGAAGAGGGAGGAAAGGCGGAGCCTTTCTCCCTGATACCTGAATGGCCGCGCTGTCCCTGCTGATGTCCGCTGAGGCCGAGCCTGGTGGTGCAGCTATGGCGCTGCAGGGCTGGGCGCTGGGCTGCGGGCTGAGCCAGAGGGCCGGCGCTACTCGCTGCTGCTGTGCTACTCGCTGCTGCGCTAATCCTTCTCTCTACTGCGCTAATTCTCCCTGCTGCTCCGCTATGCCAACCCAAACGCTGTACTAACCTGTAGACTAACCTACTGACTGAGGCTGGTACCCAGATGATATAGCGCTGGGCCAGCCTCTCTGCTGCTGGTACGTTCAGGTCTGGACCGTTGATCCGATCAACAGTTCAGATCTGAATCTGAAAGTGAAAAGTGGCGCCTAAACTGCGCCGCTGGCTGGTCCTACCGATGGGCCGGTACCGGCCTAACGAAACTAGCGGTTGGGTCTGGTGGGGTCTAAAACTAGGCCTGCCGGACTCTAATCTGAAACGACGGTTCCTAGGCCTACCTGGGCCTAGCTGGGACCGTCGTGACCTGGTACCTAGGCCTGACCCGTGCCTACTACAGAGCCGGGCCCTAACTGGGGCCCGTGTAGTATCAGTATGCCACACACTCCCCCCGTTGAAGACCGAGCTAACTGCGAGGGCGAAACTGTTTGTCCGATGTCCGTGCGGGGTGGGCGGGTTGGGCAGCTTCCTTAGCAAGTCGCTGTTTTTCGTAATGCGCGAAATCCAGCGTGTGTCGTCGGGATCGCATTGCGTGAATGTAACTTTGTACTGCATCGGCTTGTTGCCGTGCTTGCTATGGGCGAGGACAAGGTTGACCTCCTGGTGACCGGCCATTGAAGGAGGGTCGTGGGACCGTTTGCCTGGAAAGTCCGTTCGTGAAACTGGAGTGTAGACCACCAGCTTCGAAGCGTGAAATACAGGGTGGACCGTTGTGAGGAAACCCGGAGAGGGGCGCCTACGTTCGCTGAAGCCAAGGGCTACGACGCCTGTCACTCGCCGCGCCCGCTTCCGAGGTCCTCAGCGACCAGCAGGGTTCGAAGTCGGGAGCGTCCTGTCACGCTCCCTTTTTTTTCTTTTTCTTCCTTTTTGTAATTTAGCAGCTTCGATCAGCAAGGAGTTCCAACAGTCAACTGGTATCGCTCAACAGTATGTTTCAGCAGTCAATTAATAATTCAGCCAATTGGTATCACTCAACAATACGTTTTAGCGACTAGGGAGTTACAACAATCAACCGGTGTCACATAGCAGTGCGTTTCATCAGCCAATGGATAGTTCAGCCACCCCACGCAATGGTGAGTTTTTTTTGCAAACAACTGGGAATTGCAACTAGGCCGCCATAGCAAGTTTCACAGTCAACTTTGGATGTGCCACCCCACTCTCTCTTTCTCTCCCATTCGCAGTTCTCGCTCCCTTACTCACGCTGTTCTCCCTCCCTCAGTCTCGTTGCTCTCTCTCTCTCACTCTCGCTGTTCTCTCTCTCTCACTCTCGCTGTTCTCTCTCTCTCACTCTCGCTGTTCTCTCTCTCTCACTCTCGCTGCTCTTTCTCTCTCGCTCTCGTTCCCTCTCACTGCCTTTACTAACCATGGTCTTTAGTCGTCGAGCCCTAAGTTCAATCACTTCGGGCGGGGAAAGGGTTTAATATTACCTGTCTGGCCCGCCTGATCAGCAAGCTCAATTCGAGTGAGCTAATGGAACTCATTGTCGAGGACCATTACGGCCCAACGTTCTGCACTGCTTTAGAGAGCGGATCAAAGTTCAAAGTTCAAAACGTACCCAGGCAGGGGCAGCGACCGGTTCAGTCAATTCTCTCCCATGTATATGAGCTGCTGAATCGGCCAGATTATCGTACATGTATCTGCACTGCTTTAGCGGGCAGATCTAAGTTCAACGTTCGAAATGTACTTGGCAAGGGGCAGCGACC